CATGTAACAATGATCTATAGAAACGAAATAAATAAATATATATATATATATCGACAACAGTGCTATGCCACTACATGGCCAGAAGATTATGTACACTTTAACTGAAAGGAATCTGACACCAACCTGGTCATACAATTCATCCTCAGGTCCTGGTCTGCTCTTATGATGCTTTCCATCCAGACACCAACTTAACAGCTGTTCAGGACTGTTAGACAACTGACTCAATACCAATGTAAAGATAGAAAGAAAGCAAATAATGCTAATATGGCTCATTATCTGAAATAAACGAGATTCCTCAAGAAGGTACAAGAAAGAAACATGGAATTTCCACTCACTTATGAGTTCTTATTTTATAAATAAGAACAAGAAGTTCTAGATGCTTACTGCCCTTTCCAAGTAAAAGCTTCAATCTATAATGCAAAAATTGCAGGCATTATAAATTATTACAACATTTATTGGTCAATTTCTGTACATCCACCTTCTCCTAGTGCAGATTCCTACTACACTAAATTCACCCTTCAACTTTCACCCATTCTCCATGGCTGTAACAGTTAATAAATTTATATAATGCTTCATACATATATTTCACTTACCAAATACATACACTGTTTATTCTGAAAAATATATAATCAGGCCTCTCACAGATACCTCAAGTTATCAGGACACCACACACGGGTCCTGAAAAATCACCGTCAAATTCACGCCTTGTCATTCCACACACCCACACACACTGGCAAGCAGTATCATTAAAACAGTTACATTATAAAATATTAAAATTCATAACAAAAACAGACATCATACATACTACTACACTTACAAGCGCGTCTCAATAATATATAATTCTGGTGGATGTTTACATAACCTACTCTTGTTACTTTGGCCTAAGTATTCCGGACCTATGTTTATATAACCTATTTTCAATGTTACAGGCTACAAATGATTTAACCTACTGTTAAAAACACAACAACAAAACCCCACAAAAAATACACAACTACCTACGCGCCTGAACTGAATACCTCAACCTACCTGCGCCATGCGTGCAAAATCCCTGCACACCGCATAAACGCACACGTGCACGTCCCGCGATGCTCGGAACCACAGAATACCAACCTTCAGATATGTAACTAGGTATGCGCTATATATTTCTTTTTCTTTTTGTAAAAAAATCATGTATATAGAAAATGGTTTAGGCAATGCCCATTCGGCCCCCTGTAGCACATTCTTATAAATATCTTATTCTATCGTAGCGGTCATCCCACGATTTTTTAAAATTTCTCTTAACACAGCAATGTAATTTCCTAAATTTGCGCTGCTCCATTCCGTAGCATTGGTTCAACTCGGTTTGATAATTTTTGGAAATTGCGGTTGCGTTGCGGTTGCCAGTTTCCTTGGTGTGCCCTCGCCGCAACAGTATGCTATTCATATTTTGTACATATATATTTTTCTTTTCTTAACAAATTTAGGAATTTTGTTTATGAAATAACAGACGTCTTGCACAAATCTTTTATTATTTAGCCTTAAGAGCTCTGTAACTGATTGGGTATTCTGTTCTGCTGTTCTCATAGAGCAAAATGCTATATACAGTATGTCCCAGGAGGAATGTGCCAGGCTTCGGGAGGGTGTTCCTTATGTTAAAGTATGCCGATATAACACAAAACACCTATGTCCAAAGTTGAACGGTTACGGAGATAATGGGCAGAGAAATGTAAAACTTTGACAGGTGTTACACACTTGTTGATTGATTGATTGATTGATTTCGTCACTGTAGATCATTGTACATGATATATGACAAGTCAAGTTAATTCTGAAACTAACTTGTGAGTGACACGAAGCCATTAAATTGAACTACAAGAAAACTCGAACGCCATGTCATAGTTGTCGTTAGGGTTCCAAGCACTATATATGACACATGAATGGCAAGCACTGACGTAACATGGCTGACTGCACATTCTGGTATGCGAGTGTATGCGGCTAGTGTGAGCCGTCATCACCACACTCAAGGACAAACAACGATAAGACTTGTCAGCTGATGGGTAAAGTTCGTGCACCCGCCAGAAGACCACACTTTTCTTGGGCCATTATCTCCGTAACCGTTCAAATTTAGACATAGGTGTTTTGGGTTATATTGGCATACTTTAACATAAGGAACACCCTCCCGAAGTCTGACACATTCCTCCTGGGACACTCTGTATATATTTTAATAAATGTGTATACAAAAATGGTCAATGCAATGCCCATTAACCTTCTGTAGCACACTGTTATAAACACCTTGTTATAGCTTCTTAGGCTTCTACAATTCCTTTGAACAATCTTAATTAGTTGATTCCTGTCATATCTTGTTGTAATGTTGTTCATGAAGCTTGAAGGTTTTCTACAGGTATCTCACTTTTGCTTTAGTGTCCCTGGAGTTTATCACTAAGCTGTTTATTGCCACCAATATGTTCTTGACATTTCACATTTTGAAAAAAATCATGTTTACACAAAAATGGCCTAGGCCAGTGTTCCACAATCTTTTTCTACTCGCAGCACACCATGAACTATCCATGACTCAACACGGCACACCAAAATGTCATTCCCCTCAAAAACACATGATATCAGACAATTAATATAAATACATAACATGATCAACTTATTACTATAATATTATTACATTGTTATTTTATTGTCATTTAACAGAAATTGACTCGTGCATTTATTAACAATTAATGAACTTTAATTCACTGTAGAGTGTAGAAAATATACTTCTATTACAATTAAAATAAATACAGTAATTCTACTCATACCTTCAATGTGATACTTGTGTCTGCGTAGCTGCACAGAGGCGACTGATCCGTGGTGGAATCATTGACAACGCAAGTCTCATTTCTTCATCGATGGATTTGAGCCATTCCCTCTGTGATGTCTTAATTTCAGTTAACGTCGAGAAGCCCAATTCACACAAATATGTAGTTGAAAATGGCAATAACACATTAACTGCCATCTCGGAGATAGCCGGGTATCCACTCCTTATTGCTGACCAAAACGTATCCAAAGGCACTTCGAGAAGTTTTAGTTTCAATGTTCTGTCTGCTTTTAAATCTGCGAGTTCCTCTTGTATATTAATCAGAAGATGTTCTGAATTCACAACAAATGGATCACGAACCCAGTCGAAATCTTGTACACTCTCTCCAAAATACTTATTGAATTTCTGCTGCAGCATCTCTAAATGTTCTTTAATTGTGTCCATCACCACTTTATTGCCGTCAGCAAGTGGCCATACAGTCGGGGACATCTCAAACGACCCATCTGTAATTCTCTAACTAGCAACCAAAATTTGCGAACAGCACAGCTGTGATAGAACTGAAACAATTGTAAAACGCGGGATCTCTACTCTTCAAACGGAAGAAGTGACACTATACTGATTTATTTTTGAAATATTTATAATTTTAAATGAAGTCCAACAATCGGTGGGTGCATCCTTACAGGAAGAGTCATAAAGTTAAAGAAGCTCTAACTTCTAACAAACAGGGGCAAATACCAAAACAGCGTTATAAAAGACAGGAAATGCCATGCTAATTCCTGCAGTTTTAGGGTAAAGCACATATACAGAACATGCAGCAAGCATATCAAAGAAGCTGCATAGGTACGAGAAAAATAAAAATAAATCAATAATGAAAACTATGATATAACAACAACTGTGAGTAAACAATTTACATTTAATTTGTTAGACTACAACATTACTGTACATAAAAAATCACAGCATGTAATAAAGAATAAACAAGCATCATCTTATTTCATCAGTGCAGTGGCTGAGAATAAAATACAAGCATATGAAACACGGTAACTTGGATAAAATAAAACGAATAAAATTCAACAATTTCTTACAATAGGTAAAAGTTTGCATCACATCTTTCACCTTGTGATGGCACACTGGTTGTGGAACACTGCCCTAGGCAATGTCCACCTGGACATCTGTAGCATATTCTTGTGAACATCTTATTCTATCATAGTGGTCATCCAGCGATTTTTGAACAGCTTACTGAACTATAAGACTATACCATTAATATTTTGTATATATACTCTGTCTTTTTGAAAATAAATTTTGGAATCTTGTTTATTATGTAACAGACACCTGACCAAAGCTTTTTTCTTCTAGCCTTAAGAGCTCTGTGGATTATTGACTAGAACTGATAATTCTTCCTGCAACTGGAACGTTTCGTGATTGCTTGTTGTGTCCCTTCCAAGTTGTTTGAACCTACTAAAGACCGGGATTTCTTTGGCTTCTTCTGGCATTACATTGGTTGGGGTGCTACTCTGGTGTCCCAGTGGTCTGAGTATTGCCCTATATTGCATCTTCTTTAATTTATATAATTGTTTCTTCTTTATTAAGTTTATTAAATAAAAATGCTCCATATTCCATCCTTGACCTTATAAGTGCCTTATAGGGTCTCATTAAAATTACAGGGCCCACTCCCCACCCAATGTGCAGTAACATAATCAATAAAAAGATTAACTAATATTAAACCTCCATTATTTTGTCCTTATCTTACCATTGAAAAAGCTAAAATGAGAAAACTAAATATACATTAAGGGCCATTAAAGTCTTGTTTATTTATACACTTTTTACATGAATTATTTAAAGGCACTCTCAGTATTTAGCTTATACAGCCGCATATGAAAATGACTGACAAATTAAAAGATTTGGAAGTGACTGTGGCTTAATCAAGGCACTATCTTCACATTTGTCTGAAGGGTCTGATAAAAACTATGAAAACCTGTCATGATAGCCTATATCCTACCCAAGACTTGAACAAAGTACCTGTCAAATACAAGTCTCAAATATTACTGCTATGCCAACTACTCAGATTGCAATATAAAATCATAATACACAGATAGCTAGTAACCCCATTCAAAATTGGGCACAGTCTAAATACTGAAGAATTAGAGTAATCATAATTATATTTATGACAAAATTATGAGCAGATTAAATTTGATGAATACTTAGGCCATGCCATAGCTGAAGCGGTTAGTGACTGGCTTCCCACTGGGGCGGCCCAGGTTCGATCCCAAGTCTGGTCAAGTGGGATTTGTGGTGGACAAAGTGGCGCTGGGGCAGGTTTTCTTCCGAGTACTTCGGTTCCCCTGACAATCTTCATTCCACCAATTGCTCCACAATCAGCCTCACATATCACCTGTGGCTGGTACAATAGGCTAGAAGTGGCCACAGTACAAGGGACTGAGTCCAACCCCACTAGAAATATAAAAAAAATACTATCATTCAGATTTGTCTGTGTTCCCTAAGACATGAATATTAAAAAATTTAAAACCGTAATTCATATGGGTGTGAACGTCCATCTACCACACAAAGAGAACATAAGTTATGGGTGTGTGTAAACAGGATAGTGAAGAGCACAGCCGAACCCGATGTAAAGAAAGTGCCAGGACACTTGAGAAAAGTACATTATGAGGAGCTTCAAAATTTGTACTCTTTCCAAAACAATGTTTGGATTATATTCTAAAGGGTTCTGACAATGGTGGATGACACACAGAATTATTGGGTTTTTTGGACTTTTTCCATCGTCTGGAATTCTAGGTAATAGAGGACACGACATTTCAGAAACTGGATCTGTTTCCATTTTCAGGTGAGAACAGAAGGGATTATCAAATAAGAGAGATCAGATGGATGAGGCATGTAACATGCATGGGAGAGATAAAAAGGAGTGTGGAACTGGGTTCATCCCACTCAGGATAGGATCTGTGGTGAGTTCTTGTGAACACAGCAATGTACTTTCAGGCTATGTAAAAGGTGGTAAATCTCTAGAGTAGATAAGCAAGTATTAGCCTTTCAGAAATATTTCACTGAATAGAACGAGTTTATTCAGTTCTTGCATCCTATTGTGTGCCCATGCACCATTACAATACTGCAATAATTTGAAAAAAATTAGAAGAAAGCTGTAGATTATGCTGAACTCTCTAACTTGTTTAATGTACAACTTCATATTTTGAGTCATTTTTGTGAAGCATTAAAGATTATTATTTGAATGAAAAACGTTTATCATATTGGACTGATGTGAGTTTAAGTATATGATAACCTTGAAAAGAAAGTTATGAAAACATAGAAATAAACACAGGATACCAAAAAAACAGTAAGCGAGATGGAACAAAAGGATAAATGCATCACAGATGTAGAGCATAAATTAATTTAAAAACGAATTCCAACCTAAGACATATAAGAGTATCAGATAAGGCAAAAAATGCACACAGAATTTTGGTGGGGAAGTCTGAGGAGATTGGAGAATGACCTTAAGATATATCAAGGAAGTGGGTTGCGAGGATGGGAGGTGATTTCAATAGCTCATCATGTTCAATAACACAAATGAAAAATGGTCATTTGAAACACAGAAACATACCTTCAGTCCAGGTTACCAATAAGTAGAGCTGTGTATTTAGTACATTCTTTTATTATTATATAAACAAATATTAAAATATAAAATATCAAAAAACCAAAATTTGAATAATTGGACACAATGGAAAAATTGCAGAGGAAGGATGTTTGCCAAAAACACTTTTATACATGTTGGCATGTCTCAGAAACAGACTGGGAAAAAAGGGGTTCCTGCAATGACTCATTTTA